GTCTAAATCCAAAAGAGGAAAAATAAGTTTTGTTATAATTTTATTTATAAAAATAAAAACAACTTAAGATTTATAACTTTAAAATCTGCCAGGGTGCGTAGCCAAATCTTTGAATCAAAAATAAGCACTTTTTAAAAACTTTTCAAGCACTATTATCACTAAGTTACAAAAGTTAAATTAAAAATAATGTAACTCTAGTGAAAAATATCAGAAAGTCTTTTTTTGAAATGATAATAATATTTGTNCCCCAAAAAGAAACGGACGTAAATCGAAACAATCATTACTTTCCCACATCATCGACTGAATTCAACTTGACCCTGAACTCAGAACAAAAGTACCCGTACCCCCTACGTCAGAAAAGTGTTAGAAGTAAAATAAACAATAATAAAATTAAAATAAATTAAAAAGAAAAACATTTCATAAGGATCTGATATTCTCCATCCGAATTGGAGCACTAGGGTTTCGGTTTCAAGTGTTCATGAAAGCGCAAGTCATAACGTGGGTACGACATGAAGTCCGCGAGAATGATTACGCAGCAAACGCCCCATTTTTCGTGAAATGCATAGGATCCACCAGATATCAATGAAGGGAGAAAAAAAAATTATTCGGGAAAAAAAGCACTTTTTAAAAACGCCAGCTGAAAATGCACCTTTAAAAGCTTTTAAAAACGAAATCCCCAAAAAAGCACTTTTAAGTACTTTTTACAAACGCTACGCACCCTGTCTGTAATAAAACCCATTAAATTATTAGAAGTTTTATCCAAAAAGTTTTTAATGAATTAAAATAAAGTAAAAAATAGCCTAACAAATTTAATTACTTTGTAATTTCATTCTGTATGGGCACCTTAAATTAGATTTCCGATTGTAATAAATTCAATAACGTAAAAAATTACTTAAACATATATCAAAATTAATTTTCACATTTAAAAATAAAATTAAAAAATTTGCTTTAAAAAAAATTTACCTGATTAATTAAGAAACACTTCTTCGTATATTCTTTTCAATAATAGATTACGTTCAGAACAAGGTAACGACGGCGATCACAAAGTCAGTCCCACTGAAAATAATCTACAAGAAACGATATCAAGTCGCGACAAAGAAAAGAAAAAAACTATGAGGCGCAAAAACAAACATGCGAGATCACAATATATATTCTCAAAACTATGGTTCTGATTCTACCACTCATCAATCAAGGCCATTTCAACACAACGAAACGAACATAGTCTTCCACAGTGCAAGTCAGTATGAGTTGCAAGAAGATCCTTGCGCGTCTTATATCGATACATCGTTTTGCGCTCGTCGTCTTTAGTCTACGTCTGAAATCAGATTTCTGATGCATCGCCTGAAACGGAAGTTGTTGTATCTGCTTGCTGATATATGCGTTAAATCGATATGTCGCGATACATCGATTTATAGCCCAGTCCTACTACAGGGTGTGATAAAAAAAGATACCTTTTAAAAAAAGCAAAATTTTTTAACGAAGAAAAAAAAGTTTTACTATATGGGCCGCCCTGTTAGATACGCCTTTCTACTAAATTTTCAAGTTTTAAATCAATAACGCCATGGCATATTTCGACAAAATTACGGTATTTAAAAGGTTTATTTTTTATTTTGAGATTATATAGAAAATGCTGAAGTAAACGCTACTAAATTTTTTTTCACTGAAATTGAGTAAAAGAAAAGACTATGTAAAATATTAAAGAAAAAGAATACTTACTTTCAAGAAAAAATAAAATAAGTTATGAATTTTGTTAGCGAATGAATTTAGTTTCTTAGAGAGAAGCAAATGTTCCAATTGAAATATATTAATAGTTTGAAGTCTTGTTCCATTTTATTTTTGGTATTTTCTATAAACTCAATAGTGGGATTTGTTTTGAAGAATATTGTTTTTTTTTTTATTTCTACTTTTAGATTTTTCTTCATTCTTTCAAATGTAATCATTTTTTAAAAAAAAATTTTTCTTTTGAATTTAATCTTTTTTTCTGGCACAATTTGATAGTTCTTACATCAGTCAAACGGCAGATTAGCGTCAATTTAAAATTCCAGTGATTTCTTTTACCTAGGTGTGTTTATTTAAGGCAGGAGCATTTTTTTTAATTGCTATATCTTATATATATTGAGTGCATTGGTTCACAAAAGGGGCAGAAATTTTTAATCAACATTGAAAAATAAATAAAAAGGAAGTACAACTAAAAGTATCTACTGAAATTGGATCGATGCATAGAACAAAAAGAGTTTAAGTTCTAGTTTCGTAACAATTTGAAAATAAAGCTTACTAAGTTTAATTATTCTTAAGTTACAAATCCGAAGTTGTAACATCATTTGTAGATGACGTCATGCAGTTTTTCGTCAATCAAAAGCTTCTTTAATCAAACTATATTTTAATGAAAAAAAATAAGAAAGAAAAACGGTTTGAGAGCAAACATTACGAAATAGGTTCGCAACTTCGGAAAATTATCGGTAAACATCTGTTTTTGAATAAATTCGTGATCGAAAAATGATCACGTATGCTTGGGATAAATGAATTCTTCATATAGGCCGCACATCATGACAGCAAAACTTTTAAACACATATAGGCCGTGACCTACCTACCGGAAATTAATGTACTATTTAAAGTTTTATAAAAAATAAATTTTCAGATTTTTTTTGCAAAAGTATACTTTTTAAAGAATTTTGTCATTAAAAATGCAAAACGATTAATTTTGAAACTGTTGAGAATTAAAGAGCACATCAAACTCTTAAAAAAATTTTAAAAGTTCAATTTCTTAAAGTTTCCTTTTCAAATAAATTTAAAATATTATAACTATGAACAGCTTAAATCTAAATTGATAAATTTTAATACAAGCACATCTTTAAAAGATTAAAAATAACTTCTTTATAAAAAATTTAAAAAAAAACCCATTTGCATCAATATTACTAGCTTACTTTATAGGATGTGTGTTTTAGTGCAAAAATGTTTCTTTATTGCTTATAAAAAAAAAATGGAAAATTTTCTAACTTAACATTTTCCAAATATTTTTATTTTAAAATATTCTATTAAAATTAAAGTTGAAAATAAAGTGATAAATGTATATAAACAGTTAAAAGTAAATAACAGAATCATTTTGTAAATTAGTAGTTTGTAAACTTTTACAGTTTGTAAACAAATAGAGAACAAATCTAGAAGATTAAAAGAAAAAAAAATAGATAAATTGATATACTTTTTATGACAGAGAAGAATTTCCTTAGGCTTAAAAATTTAGAAAAAAATCATAATTTTCTGTGACCAGCTAAACTAATACATTTATTTTTACATTTTAATGCATATTTTTAGTAACAAACACAAATAACTAAAGCAAACAGCAACATCTGCACTTTTAGTTTCTTTTTTCTTCAAAAAATGAACAAATAAAAACATTTACTTATCACAAAGATGTAGTAAAAAGTAATTAGAGCTAAAATTACACAAGAAAACACCTATTCAATATTTAAAATTTTGTTGCACAAAAAGAATGTAAATCTATTAACAAGGGCATTTTAACACGATTTTATTTCTAAAATATTAACCCCTTAACTTAACAATTATCTCACTTTTTGTAATCTTAGCCCAAGTTATCTCCCCCTTTTAAGTTAAGGAGTTACACAAAAACATGTTGAAATAATAAATGTAGCTATAAAAGAGTTTCTAATTTACAAGGTATAAGGTTACAAAGCACATAAACAGTTTTTTTTAATTTTTATGTTAAAAAAATACCATTAAATATTGACCATACGTTCTAGTTCATAGCTCAAACATGAAAGAAAAAATTAAGGAAGGTATTAGATTTAAAGTAAGTAGAGAAAAAGCGATAGTAATTACTATTGTGATATAATGATTTTTTACCTTCAAGATTTTTTTTTAATTTCACTTGAATTATTATTATAATTTAATTATACTAAAATTGTTAGTAAACTTAGTAGGGGCCCCAAGAACAATATTTAAATTTCAGGCTTTTCAAAACAATTTTTTAAGGCAGTGGGAGCCCTGCTTTAATAAACTTGATTTGAAGTTGTTCTGTACTCCTTACATATAAATAACTCTGCTTGCATAAAACTTCCTTTAGTACAAATAATTACAAGGAAACCTTTTAAAGTGATTGTAAAGCATAAGTTTTAGTATTTTATTCTCTATCACTTTATAAAATTTTTTGCAGAAAGTGGAGTAGTTCGGCATTTCTGATAAAAACATGGGAAATGTGTTATGTAACTAGTGATGCATATCTTCCATCTCTCTCTAATTGGGAGGAGGTTTTCGTTGACAGTTGTAGATGGATATATTTTTCTATTTTACAAGAGCTTCAACTAAAAACTAAACTCAGTGGCACGACAGCCCAATGGAGGGCCAAGGCCTACTGTGCCATCTCAGTTTTCTTGCCCTTGGGCTCTGGAGTACAGGCGCAGATGTTCTGGTTAGGTGGTCAGCCGAAAGCGGAACCGCCAGTATTTAGTTCCCAAGCATGCTTGGTACTCATTTATTGACCCACTGAAGAGATGAAAGGCTGAGTCAACCTTGCCCGGCCTGAGGATCAAACCCAGGACCTGAGGCAGAGGAACGCGAAGTGCCACCAGGCGTCCCTGAGCTTCAACACATCTTCATATATTTATCATTAATATTTTTATATATGTATTAGAGTGGATCAAAAAAATGAATTTTTCACTTTCAGAAAGCATTGGTTGCGATGTGCATGAGCAGGGTTCCGCTTCATTGCACCTTACGTAAAGAAATTTTGAAGATTCATCAACATTCTATGCTAATCTTATCAATAAATTATTTTCCATTAAATAGTTACAGCTGTTTTTAATCGCTATATTCATTTCAAATTACCCTGTATTTAAAATATATGAATGAAAAACTGGTTTAATTTACAAAAAAATTAACAAATTATTATAGCTCCCAAATATATAACAATATAAGCTGAAATAACAAATTAAACATTCTCAATCAATATTTAAAAAGGTGAATACATAAATGGGAAAATTTACTTAAGACGCATCATGGGAATGTTAACACAATTTGCAGCTGCTACTGCACAAAATGGCACAAAGCGACCAATCAGTGGAGGAGCACTCTGCAAAAAAAAGAGGTGTATCAGAAGTATTTTCAGAAACATTAGTATACATCCTATTTTGCTGCTAAAATATTAGTTAACAATTCTGTATTTTGAATAACGCAAGCAATTAATATAGCGATTATAAACAACTAGTGTAACTTAATTTACAGAAACTCACATTTTTAATGCACAGAAATAAGTGCAAAAATTGAAAAAATAAGAAATCATTTAAATAAGTGCAAAAAACATTCTGGTAGAAATTTTGCTTGCTTTGAACTTTATTATTGGATGGTTGGACAAATGTTAAGAATGACCCTGTGATTGCCACATGCATACATACAGGTCAAACTTCCTTTTTTAAATGAAGGAAATTGTGGAAATGATGAAAAGACTACAGAATATTGTGCCCAGGTTGTAATTGAAGCAATACAGCATTGCAACCAAATTCTTGGGATCAAAGTCTCTGCTATGTGCACGGACACAATGAAAATAAAATGGTAAAGACACAAGAAAAATCTGCCTAAGGTGTCATATGGGTATTCTGCTCACTATTTAAATCTCTTAGAAGAAGAAATATCAAATAAGAATGTTCTTATTTGATGTTCATGTTGTAGAGGTACAAAAGTTTTTCCGAAACACATGGTGGTTAAAGGAAAAAGGGGGCTTGATGCTCCAACTACCAAATTCTACACCTTGAAATTCCCAACTTGTTTGTATTGGATGACATTTGTGACAAAGTTTTATAAGTATGTAGAAATATCTAGTGAAAACTCAGATGAATTTCCTTGAAACATCCTCAAATTTTGTACAGTAGAGAATTATTTATCCTGTATCCAGACAACCAGGAAACCAGAAAACCGGGGGAAATTTTGCTTGGTTTCCACCTCATTTTAAACTAGAACGATTATGAAAAAAAAAGCGGAAATTGGACTCATCCTTGAAGTTGAGTAGAGGAAAATATGAGGAAGGGGAATTTTTTTTTCCCCGTTTACCCAGAGATACATAATTTCTTCTGTGACCTTGAAGATCGAGAGGAGGCAGGGAAGGGACGAATGTTTTATTTTCTCCTTTAGGCCGTGAATCAAACTCAAAGGAGTGTCATGCTGATTTCGTTTTCTCTTTGATTTACGAGGGGGTGGGGAAAATGCATTGCACATGCATATCAGTGAACAGAAGATGAAAGAGTAAAATATATTTATCTATTTGTCATCGATTAATAAAAATAAAATCTTTTTCTTTTGAATAAATTCTGATTTTTTGGAACTGCAGTATCATTTGCAAGTTTTTCTTAATATGGAATCACATCTGCTTTAAATAAAAATCGTGTTTTATAAAAAAAAAAATAAAGAGAATTGTTTATTAATTTAAACATACGATTATTTTATGAAGCATATTGCAGTTTTGTTTTTCTGATTCCACAACGTTTGATTTTTTTTCTTCTCAAGATAAATTTCGTACTCAATAAATCAATTCTTTTTATTCATAAATTTTATAATTAGGTTTTTTTTTTAAATTCCATTGATCTTTTTAATCTTGCCTTGTTCCGGGTTTTAATATTTATGCTAGTGTCCTTTTTAAATATCATTTCCGGTTCGATATTTTCAAGTGTTATTTTTATTTAGATTAATAAGTTTTCCTTTTATTTTATCGCCCCCCCCCCCTGTATAATTAGGTATGAAATGTATTGCGTTATTTAATCATTTGTTTTGTTATATTAGTTAATTTAGGAATTGTAATTATTTTCAAAAAATAAATATGAAAATTTTGTATTTTTTAAACTTGTTTTTCTTGTCTAAACTTGCAATTTTTTTCATTCTTTTAAATGTTATTTTTCTACCATTTTTTTTTCTTCCTAAATTTAGGAGTGCTTTTCGTTTTTCTTTTACTTTATGCATTACACTTTTTCCTTGTAATTCGGGTTCGATAAAACATCGATTAACGACACTGTTTGGTCGATCCAGAAAATCGGGAAATTCAGACATCCGGGATAGCGATGGTCCCAAACATTACGGATAATTGATTCTCTACTGTATTTTGCAATGTAAAATTATATTCTTTAAAATGAAGAAAAAAATTTTATAACTTATAATTAAATATTTTTTACCATTGAATAAAATAATAAATATTTAATAAGTGTTTGTTTTTTTCTGTTTGGAATTATCTTTAGAGAAACGAATTTTAGAATTATGAGCAAAAATGTTTCAACCCGCCTGAAAAGTTTTCGAGATATTGTGAAGTACTCAAAAAGTAAAATTAATATTAAGGGGTCCAAGATTTAAAACGCTCTCCTAACCAAACTATTTGGATTATATTCCAGATAGTGGCTAACCTTTGTTCTTTGGGGGTCAGAAATCCGAATTCATCAACGAAAAAAAGGTATGTTCATTCAGAGGAAGTACATTTTTGTGTCTGACTTTGCAACTTAAAATATTGTCTGTACTTATTAATTAGCATATTTGAGGTCACCCCCTCAAACCATTAAGATAGAGTCCTGGAATGTGAAGATTATTCAGGGTGGTCCTTTTTTTGTTGACTGTCCACATATGAAGCTTGTAGAAGTAGAAACAATTTTTGAAAATACTGCATTTGGAATTAATAAATTTTATATTTGATTTTTAAGGGGTTAAGCTACAAAATATAAATAAAATAAGATAATAGCAAGATAGATAAATTTGCGAAATCAAAGAAATAATTCAAACATGGCTTGACCAGCACTGCCTATTTGCATTCTGTTCTGTTCTCATGCTACACGCTAAGTCAGAGCAATGATCACTAACGTCATCAGCTTCCACGTGATTTGGAAGAGAAGAAAGAACAGCAGAGGAGGGGAAACAGTGGGGAGGAAAGGATAACAGATGAGGAAAGCTGGAACTAAGGGCGCAGGCGAAGATTGCATTAAAAGCTTGCGGTTCTTTTAGATCCGTCAGTCTTTTTTTCTATCCCGGAAAAATTAATTTGATTTAAAAAACGTTAATTATGAAGATAAACAAATTTGAAAATGGTCTGAATGTAAGATAAAATATTTTGAGAAGGGTCCGTTTTGATGAAAAAATATTTTGTGAAGGGCTCGTTAACAGACCCAGATTTCGTTTAAACAAACCCCTGATTATTACAAACTAATAACTGAAAAATAAAACTCATAATTGTTTTCATTAAAAAGCAAAACTTTTATGAATTAGTAAATACAAAGGCCCAATTTATCAGACATCAAATGAAGAATAAATCAAAATATATCAGGAAACAAAAATAAAAACCAATTATTCTAAATTACTCTTGAAACTAGTCTAGTCTTTCATTATTTATCTACTAGTATCTTTATTTGTATACACAAACTACATGCTTATTAAGTTTTAAAAGCATTCATTATTTGAATAAACATAAAACTAAATTGGTATAATTGAAATATGTTTATCATTTAACAGCAAATTACATTACAAACAGCTATTGAAAAGTTATAATTTAAAAGTTTAAATTTTATTCATTGATCTTTTTCAATTTTTATTTTGAACATTAATATAATTTACATACATTACTCTATTTTTAATTCTTTAGATAAAATCTTCTATATTAATTAAAACTTTGAAAACAAATCACAACTTTAAGAATATATTTTTAATTTATTTTAAATAAAAATTATTTTTGACTGAAATCAATGATTTCCTTTTATAGTTGAATTTTTCAAAAAGAAATCAAAAGATTTAATCATGTCAACCCTCCCAGAAAATAAATCATAGATAAAGGAGTTAAAATTAAAAAGATGTTTAGTGACAAAAGCAAAATTTTACAGGAGAATAAATTGATTGTGGAAAGACTTGTAAGTTGCCAACAGAAGCTTTGAAGAGAAACCTTAAGAAAAACTTTGAAACTAAAAGTCACAAGTCAAGCACTCAATTCTTTCATAATGATATTGGTCGTAAAACAAAGATCTGTTTCATTGCACAAATAAATTTTTTTTTTTTCAAAAAATTTGCCACTTAACTCAACATTAACTCCTTGATTCTCATACAAGTTTAGTGTAAAATTGTCTTCCTTAATTACTATAATATATAATTATAATAATATTTATATCTTTGAGGAAAGGAATTACTTACTTTTACTATGCTATTAAGTCCCAGAGCAGTAATAAGTGCGCCTGACGTTGCTAAAACATATGATGTTCCTAACTGCCTAAATTATAAAAAATAAATTAATACAAAAAGCTTACATTTTCATGCAATTTTTATTTCGATAGAAAAGCTTTTGTTGGGAATACAGCTAGGTATTTGAAGTAATTAATGAAATTAAAAAAAAAATCTAAATTAAAAATAAGTAAAATGGCAAAATTTTCAGACTTTTCAATTAAAATTTATTAATTTGTCTTTAGCTATATGAGTTATAAAATTCTTAATTTAAACACAGAGAAATAGCATTCAAAACCTTATTGTAAAAAAAAAGTGCATATTTTGTAAATGTGAATCATATTTTGTAAAATATATGAATGGAAACTAACTTTACAGGGATTGGAGAGTCGCCACTACGGTTTGTGTAGTTTACAACAGCATTAAAAGACTGATTAATCCATTGCCAAAACACAACTTGGGGAACTGTCCTGTAAGAAAAAAAAATTTATGCTTCAAAACTAATGAAATTTGCAGCATTTATAAAGAGTTAAAAATTTCATTATAGATATTTATTTTATACTTTACAAACTTCTATAAGAGAAAAACTATCTAATTTACATTAAAAAAAATTATAAAATTTTATTGTAGCTTAGGTAAAACAAAACATTCATTTGTATCACATCCTAAATAAATTGTATCGAGAAATTTTTTTTTAACAAAATAATGATTATATTAATATTACTAAGCAGTCACATACATGTGACAAGTCATTAATAAGCAACAATAATTTTCTCAAAAAATTCTAACTTACTAGATATGTAAAGGCTCAAAATGAACCAGAGAAATAATAAAAAAATTCCCACATTGGAATTTTTTATTTTATTTATCATTAATAAAATTGCCCTCAAAAGACACTAAGCATCAGAGGGTACAGGTTTTATGTAGCACATGAAAGTAATTTAAATGCTTCAAACAATCCTGAATACAAAATAAGTTAAAAATGGATTTTGATAATTTCAAGATAGTATAATACTAATATTAAGCACTTAAGAAGCATACACCAACAATATTTTTGCAAATAAACGTTCATGATAAAACTTAAGAAATGTGTTTGGTTTAAAATTAATTTATAAGCACTGCACATTATAACTTAAAAATACAATGTAGTAAAAAAAGCTTTGGTAAAGTTCATGTAATTTTTACCTAATCTAGTTGCTATGAAAGCTTTGTAAATATTTATCATGCAAACTTACAAACCATTTACTACAGTTTCTGGTATTCTGATTCTTTTTCTGATTATTTAACCAGAGTAAGTGCACCTTATTTGTTTGGGATTCACTACAATTAGATGATCCTTTCTATCATAAGAAACTGTGTGATTATTCCATGGAGATAAGAGATATATCATAAGAGAGAAGTGATTATTCCATGGACAATATACTGATATAAACGGCCAGGTGGCCGAGTGATCAGTGTGCCTGACGGCTGTGAAGCCAATGGTTGCAGGTTCAAATCCCGCTCAAGGCATGGATGTTTCTCTCTGTGTGTTCTCCATTGTGTGATGCGTGACTGTGGCCCACCCTATAAAACGAGTATCTGTGGCAGTGTGGCGTGTGTATTGTTGCTCGCCTCTGTGGCTTAGGTTCACAGATGCCCACTGGGTAACGTTAAATGAGTAATACCTCCGGCATCTTTCTAGGTGAAGAACAAAAGTTCAGTGCCTGTCGTTTAAAAAAAATACTGATATTTGTTCTCCTGTATTTAGCAAAATACATTTGACAAATTTCTCTTCTAAATTAAGAGTTGAATCCAATTGTTATCCTTAAAAGGACATAATCTATACTGTAACCATGCATTTTGTACAGATACCTCTACAAAACAGACCAAACGAATATAGTAACCACCACCAGTCTTTAGATCATAACGAACAGAGATATTTGGATAAGTTTTGATCCATACTATAAATGTCTCCCATAAGATTGTTATATTGAGAAATAATGTGTGGTTGATCCATTTTCAATAAATTTCTCTACCATGTTGGAATGATGTTTTGTTGATTCTATTGATTCAACGCCAAGCTAATGAGCTCACAAACTTCAAATTTTTTCAGTTTTAAAAAATAAAAACGTTTTCTACTCTTTATTTAATAACTTTAAATGTCTTCAAGAGTGCAATTTTCAGTCCAGTTATCGCATACAGTGATAGTTATACCCATTCATTTATCTGTTAATAGATTAATAAATGCAGGTGATGTGATCAAAAAACAGGTCATAATGTTTATTCTTTGAAACAAAGTCCATTACTACCGCACCTCCCATTCCAATTCTATAATTTAGTTCCTGCTACTCTCTAAGGTTCAGATTGTATTAAATAGCCAAATTAAGTGCTCAAATATCAAACTCAGTATCCGAACCTAACCGGCTTTCCCTTGATAAACGGATTGCAACCGTGATGTCCACAGCATCCTTTCATCAACAAATAACTACAGTTTATCTGGTAAGCACATAAAAAATCTTTCATTTTAAAATTAAAGAATGGATGCAGCTTATTGTTCTTCATCATTTTTATACAAATTGCTCTTGACATCGAAACTTATCATGAACACAATTTTTACCAGCATGCAGAATCAATTGTTCCAAAATGTGTTAAGAATTTAGAAATAGTCTGAAAAATATGCAGGATACCAATAGATATTTAAAAACTAGCACAATTTCATGCTACGGAAGGGTTTTATTTTCAGAAAATTCAATTTTGGATCAGTTTGAATTATTCTGTTGAATTATTTATTTCCTTATGCACTTTTTGGAAAAAGGAAGAGTTTCAGTTATAAAATCATCTTCACCAATAATTCGTCTGATTCACCAATAATTTGTCTTTCTTGATTTTTTTCTTTGATGACTGCTTTTGCTCATAACTGCCTCCCTCCCCCAGTTAAATTAACCATATCTGTCAAATCCTCCTTTCAACTATCTTCATCAATAATTTCATTAGATGGAGGATCCAAATAAAAATCAGCATCATAAAATGAGTCATCATCAGATAGCTCTGTCATAATGCCACTTCAATCGTCAAACTTTAAAAAAAGATAAAAAAAGAAAAAGTTTCAATACCTTAAGTATTAAAACTTTCAATTGTATTTTACACAAAAACTGATATTGATTTTATATATTACATACCGTCATGTGGGGCTACTTTGTGCAGGATTTCGCAGTTTTTGAACTATGACATGTAAAAAAACTATGTTAATTTAAACTTTAGTAAAATTTATCGATATTATATTCATAACTGAACTCAGACGAGTTAATTTGATCAATATTGGCATTACTTGTATGTAATATTTACAAATAATAAGTCAAAACATATCTTGAAGAACAGAAGCGATAAGAATTCAGTTTAATAATCATGTTTTTAGTAAATATTGATATAAAATTGTGTTAATCTTCGATTAAGCAA